AAAAAAAACAAAAGATGAAAAATATTTTGAATGTTGAAATCGAATATTGAATGTTAAAAACGAATGTTGAATGTTGAAAACTAATGTTGAATGTTGAAAACGAAAAATTTTTTTGAATGTTGAATGTTGAAAACAAATGTTGGGGGAAAAAAAAAAAAAAAAAAACTATGAAAAAAAAATATTGAATATTGAATGTTGAATATTGAACCAAGTTGACACAGCGTGTAAATGTAGGAGAAAACATTAGTCAAATGCTTGATATCTATAAAGGTGTTCCTCAGGGATCAATACTTGGCCTTGTATTATTTATTGTCTCCATTAATGACATATTTCTTTTTGTTAAACACTGTGAATTATATAACTATGCTGATGATAACACCCTCTCTAAATCTGGCACTTCTTTGGAATCAGTTATTAAATCCTAAGAGGAAGACATTAACACCCAAATATCATGTATTAATTGTGTATGTTATTTATATTAAACTGCAATAATAATATTTCAATTCTTTTATGTTGATAATACACATCATTTTAAAGTAACCAAAAGACAAATGTTGCATCCATCAATTTTTATTAGAGCCAGCAAAATATCAATTTCAATGAACATAATTTATGTATAACTGATAAAATCTTAAGTCAGGAATTTTGTCTGAACAAATTAATCAAAACTTCTGCTAAATTCTTCCATAGATACTGAGATTTGGTTGGGAATTTATGCTGTACTTTAGATTTCTGATGAAAAACTGGATATCACACTCTTAATTTTACGGTGATATTGTTTATAAAGCCCGTAAATCTAGATACAATCCATCTAAACTAATTGATCCTCTGAATAAACTTATTCTTTAAGGTTATCAATTTTATACTGTAGGGAAATCTTTTAATGTTGTTTTTATCGGTAAGAACATTAGTTTTGCTTTTGTTTTATAAAACCATAACTAAAAATAATTATATTGCTATATATGTACAGTGATGAGTACTCATGATCCTACATCCTGTCGATACTGTTGACTTATAGTTTGGCATTGCACAAGGTCGTGCGTTTCTCAGGCTGTTTATGACGTCCTTACACTAAATTTGTTGGATGTGTACTGATTGATACTTTAGTCCGGGAAAACATGATTTATTTACTAGTTGTAATTGGCTTTGAACTAGCTTTCAGTAACTGCGAGTGCTCGTATATCGGGGCTTTGTGTCTATTGTTTTTATGATAGTTGGTTTATTTTATGCTTCGTACCGATTTATTGAGTTAAACCCTAATATATGATTTTACAGATTGTTCTTATGTTGTGCTGTAACACCACTTTCCTAGGTTATAAGGAGGATTAAGCACTCACAAAAATGTTTAACCCCGCCACATTCTTTATGTGTATGTCCCAAGTCACGAGCCTGTAATTCAGTTGTCGTTGGTTCATGTCTGTTATATTTGTTTTCCTTGAATTTTATTGTATAAATTGGGCCGTTAGTTTTCTCCTTTGAAAGCTGACTATACGGTATGATTTTTTATCATTGTTGAAGGATGTACAGTCCCCTATAATTGCATTTGTCTTCAACATTTGAACTCTGGCGGATAGTTGTCTCTTTGGCAATCATACCACATCTCCATATTTATATAGTATTTAATATGAAAAATAGATAATAAATGACAAGAAATAACTTGCCGACAATATGAAAAAAATATGTGTTTTTATATGAAATATATCCATGTATTGTATTTTTCAAAGTGAAAAACACTTTTGATCTCTGAGTAAAGCGGTATCTCAAAAGAATTGGGATAACCCGACCCAAATTTGACGCTTCACTGACTTGTATCTGATTGTATGTCCGAGTTCAGATCTCAAGAAGTGAGTGATTCAGAATAATTTCGTATTAGGCTGTATCTCGGGGGGAAAAGTACAAAAAGAAGACCATCTTGGCCTACATTTTACGCTTTGCTGATTTTTATACTACCGCAAAAAATTTTGTGGTCGTATATTGGTATCACGTCGTCGTCGTCAGCATCGTCCGAAGACATTTGGTTTCCGGATAATAACTTTAGTAAATGTAAATAGAAATCTATTAAATTTAAACACAAGGTTTATAATCACAAAAGGAAGGTTGGGATTGATTATGGGGGTTATAGTCCTAACAGTTTATGAATTAGGGGCCAAAAAGGGGCCCAAATAAGCGTTTTTCTAGTTTCAATACAATAACTTGAGGAATGGTGTATGGATCTCTCTGAAATTATACCACAAAGGGATGGTTAGGATTGGCTTTGGGGGTTATGGCTCAAACCGTTTAGGAATTAGGGGCAAACAAGGGGGAAAAACAAGGGTTTCCTGGTTAATGGACAATTAAAAAAAGTACAATGTTATGTTTAGGTTACTTCCCTTACACTGTTTTTAAATTATGTATACAGAAATGTTGTATTGTCTGGAGGTGATTAGCTGTCAATTTATTTTTAGAAGTTACTATTTAAAAATGCTGATTAAGGAATATTAATTTTAGCCATGATTATGTATGTCATTTTCTATTTTAAGACTTTTATGATGTATTTAAATGGATAATTATGATTGCACACTCCATTGGAAATTTGAATTGAAATTATGACCATGACTGAGGGAAAGAATTTTTTTTTTTGGAAAAAGGGGGGGGGGGGTCAATTCGCGACAGCATAGTGTATTGCACTAAAGCAAAAAATTGAATATAATTTCAAATCATATAACCAATTCTAAGTTCTTTGACTACAGTTATTCTGTGTCAGAAACCTATTACGTGTCAAATATTTAATTACAATCCAAATTCAGACCTGTATCAAGCGCGAATATTGTGTCCATTTTTGCCCCAACTGTTCAGGGTTGGACCTCTGCGGTTGTATCCAGCTCATTCGGCAAAGCAATTTATTTAAAATTGTTACGACTGAATTCAGATCTCAGATACTAAGTGACTTACCATCATATGATTGGTGTGAAGGTGTTTCTAGGGTAGCTCAACAGTTATCCTCAAAAGAAGGTCAATCTGATATATTTTTTACGAAGTTTTAAGTCAAAAGATAATTTCTCAGATAGTGATCTACAATCATAGTATTGTGCAAGGATGCGTCAATAGAAGTGTCACAGCTTCACACTAAAAGTAGGTAACTCTGACCTAGATATTATGCTTCGACAAACTTATATTTGCAGTCAAACCTGCTATAAAAGTCACCTCGATTTAGCGAAAACCTGTCTTTCCAGGTCACCCTCTTCTTGTTCAGACCTTCTGTAGTAATATCTGTGCATTTTGAACCAATTCAAAGGTCATCTCTCTTGTAAGATAAATTTTCTGTGGCCCAAGTTTGACCTTTATATACAGGTTTGACTGTAGTTTTACATCTTAGATCAATTTTCACACTCTACCATCATATTCTAAGTGACATACACCTCTTTACAATCTAATTATATAGACCTCTAATTACCAACATCTCATCAGGTCCATACAACTTTTCTTTTATAACCAATTTTTTTCATTAATATGCGAGAGAAAGGGCGAGTGAGATGACAAGAATTGCGAATTTGAGATACAGAGACGAAGCATACCACATGTTTTTTTTTTTTCATTGACAAAATGTGTTCCTTATTTTGATAAACTGTTGACACAGAGATATGTCTCGACTTTTTGTAATTTTGACAGTATAATGCAAATATTAAATTCAAATGGCAATATTTAAACATATAATCTATGCAAAACATTCAAATTCAATGAACCATGACTTAAGGTGCAGGACAAAGTGACCTCCACGGAATTTAGAAATGCCAATGCTTACAAAACTGTATACCAAAAACCATTGACTTATCATATTAAGTTGTTACCTTTAACTTGTAAGCAATGTAATATTTTCAAAGTCTTAGTCATCTTCGAAGATAAAGGCAGTGACAAATTGTCTGGCAGATGTTTATTTCAGGTTGAAAACTGAACATATGCCTTATCAGTTATGTATGGTCTGACATATATCAGTCACCCTACACATTATTTTTAGGGGTGTTTACCTTCTTCAATCTGTACTATAGCCTTATGTTACGTATGGTTTGACATATATAAGCCACCCTACACATTATTTTAGGGGTGTTTACCTTCTTCAGTCTGTACTATAGTCTGGTAGACGTCACTTGGCCTTGGGTCTGATTGCATAAGCCATTGGTCAAATGACGAGTGCATTGTTCCTAATAGTTATTACAATACAGACGTCATCAAAACTCTTCAGTTGACCACTGCAATGAGGCCAAGTGGCATCTGTCAGACTAAAAGACTCTACTAAAACTGTAGTCTTCCTCATTCTTTTCTAGAATTTAACATAACTAGTGTTTAGCACCGTAGTCGTAAAAGAACAAAAATCGGGTTAATATAATTAATATAGACTTAATTGATTCGGTTTCATTTGCTCCTTTTTTGTTGGTGGTGGAAAAAAGGGGGGAGGGGGCAATTTTAATGCATGCATGATTGCTTTTATCTTTATTCTGAAAAAGGTACCATGTCTACGATTACCGCTTTATACAAATATATAATTATGATTTTAAGGGGAAAAAAAGAAATAGAAAGAATGTCATCCATGATTTTCATGATCAATCGAGTAATTCGGAAGACGCACATATCAGCCTTTAGCTACCTTGCGATGCAGGGGCTGATCCAAAATGTTTAAAGGGGGCATACTTGTAGAAAACAACATATATACTGCCGAGCGGAGCGAGTAGACAACTTTTAGGACAATTTTATGCTAAGAAGAATATATTTTCCAATCAAAGGGGGCATGCACCCTCTATGCCCCCCTACTTAAACCACCACAGCAGCATCATTACCATAGATCACTGCATATAAAATTGAACACACAGGACCTTATTTTTCCAGTTTTTAGAGAAACTAATGATGTACTCTTAGCAAACATTATCAACACAGAAACAATATGAATGTAAACAAATGTTGCAACTTAACTCAGAAATATTTTAAATTGAAGAAATTCATAATATTAAAACAATAATACGTGAATATAAAATATAAAATCAATTTAATTGATTAAGTACTACAAATTACCACAAATACGAATACTGTTTTGTAATCCTAATGTCACAATATTTTCCATTTTGAATGGCGTTCATTTTTGTGCATAAAACTGTCCTTAGTCCTTCGCTTGGCAAGATTACAGTAACCTGCTACGACACAGATAATTACAATACTTATGAATACTAAAGAATGCTGTTATTGATCAGTCTGTTTTTTCAGCTTGAGGCGTTTCTTCGGAAGCCTTCACTCCTTTTGCTTTGACTTTCTTCGCAGCTTTTTTCTTTGGAGATTTTGCCTTTTTTGCTGGTTTAGATTTCTTGGTCTTCTTCGCCGGTGCTGGCTTTTTAGCCTTTTTTGGTGATGCAGGTTTCTTAACCTTTTTTTTAGGAGATGAAACAGTTTCCTTCTTCTTCGAAGAGGTCTTGGATTTCTTTGTTTTGACTTCCCCTAACCTAAACGAACCAGAAGCACCTTGTCCCTTGCTTTGAGTCAAAGTTCCATTTTTTACTCCTGCTCTTAAAGCCATTTTTAAATGATTGTTTGCGGTTTTTTCTTCTACACTAATTTTATAATTTCCTATAATGTATTTAAGGATTGCCTGTCTCGAACTTCCACCTCTCTCCTTAAGACTTGTTAGCGCATCTCGTATCATGTCTCTGTAGTGTGGATGATCAGATGGTGCTTGCTTTGACTTCTTTTTCTTGCTTGCTGGTGTTGATTTCTTTTTAAACGATTTATTACTAGCTTTCTTTTCGGGTTTTGCATCCTCAGGCTTTGGTTCAACAACCACTGTGTCTGCTGCTGCGTCCTCCGACATTACAATGGATTTTTCGTCTTGCTGTACAAATAATAAGAGAAACAGAAAGTAGATATTGACAGTTTATTTATATTATTAGCGCGGACCGCGGAGAAAGCACCAACAAGGAAGCAAGTGCGTGTGTATTGCCGATATTGTGATTTAAAATGGCGATGTGTTTCCACTCATAATAAAAATGTTGTTTCTGACATCAACTATAAGGTAAATCCGCCTAAAGTTGACAATATGCGTATCACCAGTGTCTTAGAAGTTCCGTGCAACTTAAAATTAATTTCAAATGGTAGCACATTTATTGTGGTTTGTATAAATAGAAGAGGCCACTTATCCATGACCCTGTCAGTTTTGTTGAAAAATGTTATTTCTGGAGAAATTCTCGCAATTTTATTTCTTATTTTGAATATATATCATAGAAGAAAGCTTGAATAGAATGGATCAAGCATTTGATATACAAAATATAATGTAGTTATTCTTTAAAATCACATCTCAGAAGGGTACCCAAAGCACACCATAGCCTTCTTTGTCTTCTTATACGACAATAATTTATGCAGTTATCGAATAATCCTTGATGCTCATCTAATCTAAAATTTATTAAGATATTTTTTCATTGTTTACTTTCTAGTAAATCTGTAAAAATTAACAGATCTATGGTCAAATCATTCAAAATAAAGGAAATTTATTGGGACATCATTAGCATACTGAATTTGCGCCATCTTGCCTTGGTATATATATATTATATTTTCCTATTTATCGAATATTTATATTTGTCACCTTTCTTTTGTATTGCTTACGATTAATCGAGAAATAAATAGATTGGTCAAGAAAATAAAAAAATCTACTATACGAATATAATTGCATCTATAACAATATCTGACCTACTTTCATTTTCAGGTTATTTATAGATAGTCTAGACCTGAAAATACTAAACATATCTATTATAAATATTAGTACCTCTTTTTACTTATAAAAATCCATCAATTGTAATTCGAAGATGTTTATCCAACGTCATTATCAATCAAACATCTTTTTATTAATTACCCTAAGTGAGACTTTTTATTAAGTTTGCAACACGTACGTACAGGCACTGCATGCATGATATTGTCTCCTTTTTTCACCAAATGAACATGAGTGGCGGAAGATATTTTTGATTCAAGAATATTTTCCTCTTTCGGCAAAAATTGAGTTCTTAACCTTTTAACACTGAGAGGGTTTTACAGTCCAATATTTCATTTTACATCCAATATTTCATTTTACAGTTTTTCATTAAATTTTCAAGAATATTGTTTTCTCTTAAACGTGGGAGAGGGAAAAAACATAGTTTCCCATTTTTCCATGATTCCGCTGTCTATACGTGGGTTAATTAAGGATATGACATGAGTTGATTCCTGTAAAATAGAATTAAAGACAAAGTCTCGTTATACCCTTTATCTTAAATTGTTGTACCATTTTCTATTGGCCAATCTGATGATAATCTAGAAATTGTTCACTAGACAAAGACAAGTTTCTGGTTTTCACCAATTGATCGCAAGGAATGCGTTTTACACTTAATTTATGTCATTCGGTTGATTTTCGACTTGTTAGTTTGTCTATCACTTTGGTAACTTCCACCTTTCTTTCAGGTAAGTATAATGTTATAACGGTGATAGCCTTGTTATGAAGCGGTTCTTTCTTTCAGGTAAGCATAATGTTAATAAATAACGGTGATAGCCTTGTTATGAAGCGGTTTGCATCATCAGCGTGGACGGTAAGTTCATTTCAAACCAAAGTTTATCAGCAATTGCTCATGCTCCTTCACGTAATTTTATTATACTGGTTTCTTTGATAGTTGATCTATTTTCAGTAACTGTGACAAACATGCAGAAGGTGGTTGGAGTTGTCACTTATACTCCAATGTATAAATAATCACTTAAAAAAGTAATAATTATGACCTGTACAGAATTTTCAAGATTTCCTAATCGGACTGAATTGTTTGATGCATCTATGAGGAAACACGAATAAGAAAGTGTTGTTTTGTTTCGGTACTTGTATATACAGAGACACAAGCTTTTAATGACTTTTTAAAGAATGAAGACAATATATACATAACATAAAACGAAAAGCATGCAAATAAGTACGTCATATCAGCTCAATCTTATATATATCAAGTTACATGTAAAATCATAATTAAAGCTGAAGAGGGTTCTACAATAAAGATCAGCAGCGCTATAACTAAGAATAACAAAGAATAACATGAATAACTTATCAACGCACAGAACAGCACTATAATAATTAAAAATAACAAAGAATAACATGAATAGCTTATCTACACGCAGAATAGCACTATAACTTAAATAACATAGAATAACACGAGAAGCTTATCTACAAGCAGAAACGCACTATAAATAAAAAATAACAAAGAAAAACATGAATAGCTTATCTACAAGTAGAACCTCACTATAACTAAAAAAAAACAAAGAATAACATGAATAGCTTATCTACACGCAGAATAGCATTAAAGCTTAAAATAACATAGAATAACACGAGAAGCTTATCTACAAGCAGAAAAGCACTATAACTAAAAAATAACAAAGAATAACACGAATAGTTTATCTACACGCAGAATAGCATTATAACTTAAAATAACATAGAATAACATGAGGAGCTTATCTAGACACAGAACAGAACTATAATCAAAAATAGCAAAGAATAACATAAATAGCTTATCTACAATCAGAACAGCAATATAACTAAAAATGACATGAATAGCTGATCTACACGCAGAAAAGCACTATAACTAAAAATTGCAAAGAATAACATGAATAGCTTATCTACAAGCAGAACAGCACTTTAACTAAAAATAACAAAGAATAACATATATGAATAGTTTATATATACGCAGAAAAGCACTATAACTTAAAAAAACTAAGAATAACACGAATAGATTATCTACAAGCAGAACAGCACTATAACTAAAAATAACAAAGAATAACGTACATGAATAGCTGATCTATACGCAGAACAGCACTATAACAGAAAAGTAATAAAGAATAACACGAATAGATTATTTACAAGCAGAACAGCATTGTAACTAAAAATAACATAGAATAAGATGAGAGAGAATCTTATCTGCACGTAGAACAGCACTATAACTAAAAAATAACAAAAAAATAACACGAATACATTATCTACATGCAAAAAAAGCACTAAAACTAAAAATAACACAAAATACCACTAGTAGCTTATCTACACGCAGAACAGCACTATAACCGAAAATAACAAAGAATAACACGAGTAGCTTATCTACACGCAGAACAGCACTATAACCGAAAATAACAAAGAATAACACGAGTAGCTTATCTACACGCAGAACAGCACTATAACCGAAAATAACAAAGAATAACACGAGTAGCTTATCTTCACGCAGAACAGCACTATAACCGAAAATAACAAAGAATAACACGAGTAACCGAAAATAACAAAGAATAACACGAGTAGCTTATCTTCACGCAGAACAGCACTATAACCGAAAATAACAAAGAATAACACGAGTAGCTTATCTTCACGTAGAACAGCACTATAACCGAAAATAACAAAGAATAACACGAGTAGCTTATCTTCACGCAGAACAGCACTATAACTAAAAATTACAAAAGAAGAAAATGATTACCTTCTTAGGCAACTTTTTCGTATGAACCCGAGTGGTACTCATACACAAACCTAACTGATATTTCTTTTACAGAAATAGAGATAATAAGGATTTTTATTTTGGTTTTTATAAGATTTTATCAGTACATGCATTTCATGCCAAAGGGCAGAAATAAATCTAATTTTTTCTCATGTTTTTATGAGAACATGCGTATGTAATTCATTTTTTATGCACGTGCTTGGTTCATCTAAATAAACCCGGAATTAAATAAACACTTTGGTTATTGCTATGAGCATATACTGTTTCTATGATTCTCTATAATAGAGACAGCTACGATACATTTCACGTAGAGACTGTATTTTTACGGAGCATGGGAGCATCATATATTTTCTTAAATTTATTCAAAACCTTTGGAGAACAAACACATTAGAATACAACACCCTAAAACAACAACGCAAGCAGATATCTTACAAACTAAGGCTACTTTCAAAAGTGTTGAAGCAAAACTATGCTCCCCTTTTTAATCCCAAAAAATATTGATTATAAAAAATGAAAACGAAAGAGGCGACTGACATTACTAGTTTCTTTTTGCTTCATTTTCAGAAATTTGCTGCGCCCCCACTTTTCAGTTTGCACCTACGCCACTGCTGTCATTGGTTAGGGGAGGAGTGTTGAGCTCTCTCCAACATGTTTGACACCGCTACATTCTGTATATGCCTGTCATAAATCAGGAGCCTGTTATTCAGTGGTTGTCGTTGGTTGCTGACTGCCTAAGTTGGTTTTTTTTTCGTTTGCTTTAAGCATTTTAAGATCAGGCTGTTGGTTTTCTCTTTTGAATTGTTTCGTATTTTGCCAGGGTCTTTTATAACTTTCTATACAGTAAGAGTTTTGTTGATGGCTGAATGAGGTAGAGTGTATAGTTGTAAACATCCTTATCCTTTGTTCTCTTGTGGATTGCTGTCTCATTTGCAATCATACCGCATCTTATATTTTTATATTCAAAGTACTCAGCAAAATAAGTGTTTTATCATGCCGTCTTTCACTTTAATATCGATGATCGTACTTAAGAGTAGATTTCATACAGAAATGTCATACACGGTACAGACAGACACGACCTTTCGTACAGAATTTCAACGCAGAAATATAAAGAACACATTGAATATAAAAATAAGGATATGTGGTATTAAAGTCTTGTTTCAAACTATAAATTAGGCAATAGCAAGTTGATGTTCACCCGCCCACTATACAAGATACAACGACTGAACAACAAACAAAAACAATTCATTTCATTTGAACTTTGAGGTTGATATTTGTCTCATTGGTAATCATTAAACTTCTTATTATTATTATATATGGACATGGAACAGTATGATTCAAACTTACTTCAATTCACTACCACATATCAATCGCGGATCCAGAAATTTCAT